AATGTAGGAAGCAACAAAGTTAAGAACACTTCAGAACAAATGTATAAATTCAACAATATTTATACTACATGTAAATAAAAAGAAGTGGAGTACATAAAGGCTTAAGGCTATTAATAAAGAGTATACAAACTCAAAGGCATGGTGGCATTCCTTGTAATCCCAAGACTTGGGAGGTGGAGGCAGGAGGATCAGGAGTTCAAGTTATCTTCAGCACATAGAGAGAAAGAATATATGCTGATAGGAAGGTCTGAAGAATTTTGAGTTATAGAGATTTCATATTTCAGGAGGTATTTGAATAATGGGTGGTGAAATGTCAGGAACAAGCATGTTTCTGTTTCCAGGCATTTGGAATAGAGGTCTGATTCCAAGTCAGGACTGATGCGTGATAAAAGTTGTGATGAAGAAAGGAAAGTAAATATTGGGTGAAGAGTTGATCATTGCCAAAAAAGGCAACACGCCAGTTGAAGGGATTTAAAGAGAAAGACATAAAAATCTGAAAAGCAATAGGTCAGAAAGCACGCTTAGCCTCGGAATTTAGTGGAGTGAGAAGCTAAAGAAATTAGGGAGGCAGAAGAAATCTGGATGGGAGACTCTGGAAAATGAGAACAGCCAGCTATGTGCATTACTATGTGCATTACCCTGATCTGGGTTTCCCTCTCTTACTGTGATCACAAAGACCATCTCAGGAGGTTCACAAACATAAAATCCCTCACCCTGGGACTAAATTCTAACAGTAGCCATTGGCTTGTGTGATAACAAGGTCCTCAAGATGGCAATGCAGAACGTAGGGGAAAGTAAGTGCTTTATAGAAATCTGCTTCTCTCTCTCTCCGTTCTATTTGTAGGGTCAATGCAAGTATTTCTGCAGTTGAATGGAATAGCAGCTCCTAAGAAATACAAAACAGATGTTGGAGGAGAGCATTCCAGGGTGAGTCAGGAGAAGCCTTAAGGCACTGTGTGCTCACAAGCTTGCCCTATACTTTTCCTTGCTGTAATCTTGACAGATTCCTGCATCTCCAACTTTGCCTAGGCAGCATAGAGGCTGTAGTAGATCTAAAAATGTCAAACTACATTTACTCCCAAGCCTGAATGCTCTGTGGAAAGAAAAATATCTTGGCTGATCTCAAAAGAAATACTCTAAGAAAAGGAACATATTCTTCCTTATCCACTTTTCAGAGCCAGAAAAACACGTAAAAATAAACTACTTTTGGGTAAATATTAATCATATAAAACCAACCTCTTGAAACAGAACTGAATCTAAATTCTCACAACTTTCTATTTACTAAAGTTGTTCAGAATCGGGTGAAGCTGTTCTATTTACTAAAGTTGTTCAGAATCAGGTGAAGCTGTTCTAGATTTTAAAAAAGTAATGCCCTTCGGAAAGTTATATTAACCATAATAAGTATCATACTTTCTTGGAAATGTTAGCTAAAGTTTCTATAGGAACTTAAGCCACATCACATTCTTAACACATCTGTGGTATGCATTTTTGGAATAGCATGCAATTTATGGCACTAGATTACAGTAGATGTTCAATTTACAGTACGTACTTGAATTTTTTATGTATTCTGAAGATAGCATTAAAATGATTAAGGCTGAGAAAATATAAAAATATAGGTAATGGGCTGGAAAGATGGCTCAGCAGTTAGAGCACTTGCTGCTGTTGCAGAGGACCTGGGTTCAGTTCCTAGAATTTACATGGGGACTCACGACTATCTGTCACTCCAGTTCCAGGGGATGTGATGCCCTCTTCTGGCCTCCATAGACACCTGTATACATGCAGTGCATATATACAGTTGTAGGCAAATGCCCATACACATAAAATATAAATATTTAAAAATAAGTAAAATGTGTTTATATAAGAATGTAATAAATTTATAATTATTTTAAAAATAATAACTGCATGATTAGAAGAAGCATTTTATTACAGCTTTAACATATTCAGTAACACATTCCAGAGCAGGGATACATCTCTTTCAAAAGTGGCTGTAAATTTTTGGGTTCACAGTTATTAATAGTTATAAAATATTGAACTAAGTATGAATCCTGTAAGACACAAAATTGAATGAGTTTTTATGCTTTAAAGAAGATCTCCATTTCATTTTAAAATATGCTGTCCCCTCGCTTTTTGAGACAGGGTCTCTCACTGACCTGGAATTTGCTAGTTAGACTAGGCAGGCTGACCAATGAGCTCCACTGACCTGCCTGGCTTCCACCTTCCCAGCAATAGGATTACAAGTTCATGCAGCTTTTTTGGCTGTGTGTGTGTGTGTGTGTGTGTGTGTGTGTGTGTGTGTGTGTTCTAGAGATCCAGTTCAGAGCTTCATGTCTGCACAGCAAGCACTTTACCAACTGAGTTATCTTCCTGGCCCCACATTCCTTTACCTGTTTAACACATTTTACAATTCTTTTTTACAAAATTGTTCTGCTGAAATAAAGACATTAGCATAAGTCCATTTGTTATTCCTTTACAGTGCTTCATTGTAGATATCTTCTTTTATTATGGGTAATATAAACAAAGTATAAACTGTTTCCAATTTCTCTTTCTCCATACTTACTTGTGAATAAATCTTTTTCTGAAATACAGCAGTTTTTTTTTCTATTTCTGAGAAACTACCCCAAAACAGTAAATCAAAGCAGGAATCATTTTATTATTTTATTATTATATGATTCTGGTGTACAGGCTGTGCTTGAAGTGAAGTGATTAGCCAATCTCTTACTCTCTTACCCTCTGTACCATCAGAAACTGGGGTGGCGGGCCATGGTAGTAACAAGTCTATAATCTGAGTATCTGAGAGGGTAAGGAAAGACAATTACAAATTTAAGGACAGTCTGAGCTACATAAAAGACCCTAAATGGCTGGGCATGGTGGTGCACACCTTTGATCCTAGCAGAGGCAGGCAGATCTCCGTGAGTTCGAGGCCAGCCTGGTCTACATAGTAAGTTCCAGCCTACAGGGAGACCCCGTTTCAAATCTCCGTGAGTTCGAGGCCAGCCTGGTCTACATAGTAAGTTCCAGGACAGTTGGGCCTACAGGGAGACCCCGTTTCAAAAAAAAAAAGAAAAAAAAGACCCTGAATGGGGTTGGGGGAAGGTAGCTGGGCTTCTGGACTGAGCCACATCTGAGGTCTTTGTTTTCAAGGTCTGATGAAATCTGTCTTGTTCTCCTCATGCCATGGTGATCTCAGGTTAGCCCAACTTTCCAGAGCACAAAACTGTTGCCAGACATGCTCAAAGTTTAGGCCTTCTGTTGCCATAGGGCCACTCCTGTTACATTCTACTGGTTAAAGACTCAGTCTAGATTCAGTGTGGGTGGAAACTCCATTAGAGTGTGAACATCAAGAGACATAGTTCATTGGGGGCAATCTTAGGAGGCTACCTCTCACACCTATGTTTATGAACAAAATTCTATAAACACTAAACCAAGCGTGTTTCCTAACAAATAACCCAAAGCAAAGGAATGCTCAATTTAATTATCTTTCGGTATACCTAAGTCTACCCCACTCTAATTTTTCCATGATCTCTCTCAAACACGCCACATTCAAATTCCTGTAGCACTGTAGCTTTTCCATTTGATTCTAGCATGGGTCTCATCTAAACTAAATGCTTCCAGATGTCTGAGTCCCCACATCCAGAAAAATTTAAAAATATGACCAATTTAGTGTATGTATTTGCATAGAATTACCAACTCTATAATCTTTAATTGCCAATTATGAACCTTAAAAAATATTTCAGGAACTGGAGGTGTAGTTCAGCAGCAAGGCACATGTGTGGCCCTGGGTTCAATTCCTAGGAACAGTAGCACACCAAAAACCAATCCTTAAAGAATGTTTGTTTAGTTTTTTTTAAAGTGCAGTAAAGAGAAGTTCAGATTAAAAGATAATCTTAAATTAGTTCTGTTTATGAAAATGTATTACATCTTCAAATGTTTTTTCTTTGTTAGACAATTTCATGAACTTGCAAATGTGGAATACCTAATGGAGTTGCCTGCTATCCTTGCACCAGGGTCATGTTAACCTTTCCTTTATCACTTCAGATTTAGCTGTACGTGCACGGCTACTGTGATCATTACGGAGGTCTTTATTTTTCTCATTTTGTGGCAAATCATGAATCTTCCAAGGGCTGCCAATGGTTCTTGGATCTGCTGTTTGGGAATGGCTAGCCAACTCATTGCTATTAAATACTGTCAAGGCCCTTTTTACCCAACCTACAAAAATCACTTTACGTCTTTCCCTAGAAACTATAATCATATTGATCCCTCCTTTACAAGGAATCATTTAATCCTGTCAATGCAAATCATACAGTTGTTAATTACTCATTGTACATCAGGATTGGCTAATGGTAACAGTTATGAGTAGGTGTACTGTTGGGAAACTGTCAAGTACTTGTTTCCCCATCTGTGGTATATGAATAACCATAGCAGAATCTGCTTGAAGCTTTTAAAAAAGAATTACTTTTATTTATGTGTGTGTGCCACGTGTGTGGGGGATCCCTTGGAGCTGGAGTTACGGGTGGTTGTAAGCTGCCTGATGTGGATTCTGGCAACTGAACTTGCAACCTCAAGCACTCTTCTTTTAAATTTATTTTTATTTTATTTGTATATGTATTTTGCCTGAATGTATGAAAGTGCACCTGTGTGTGTAATGCTCACAGTGCCAGAAGAGAGCATCGGCTCGCCAAGAACTGGAGTTACAGATAGTTGTTTGCAGCCATGTAGGTTCTGGGAACAGAACCTGGGTCCTCTGCAAGTACAGCCGGTGCTCTTAACCACTGACCCATCTCTCCAGTCCTTTATGTGGGGAACTTTTTAATGTAGAAATAAATTTATCTGAGTGCTATGGCATGCACCAGTAGTTTTAGTTACTTGGGTTGACCCATTATAAACAAACATACATCTAATATTAAAAAACAAGTAGTATGTTACAATAATCAGAATAGCCTTGTAGTAAATAAAATATATATCCTTCATGTATACTTTTAGCATCATTGTCAACCACTTACCTTTATTAGCTTAGCTCATGTGTTTCCAATGGGAAAGCAACACACAATGTTCAGTTCTCCGAGAAAACAAAATTCCTAAGAATACCTAAAAATGGTAATAAAATAAAGGACAAGCAGGATTTAGGAAATTTATTTCAGAAAAACTGCCAGATTATTTTAAGCCCTATGCTTAAAAATAAATCTAATTCATATGACTGACTTAAAATACTGGTACCAAGAAGAGTCATTGCAAAAACATTTCAAATTCATATGACTGACTTAAAATACTGGTACCAAGAAGAGTCACTGCAAAAGCATTTCATGAAATACCTGAAGTTTGGTCCTAGTTTTCATCTTTCCTATGATTTTCTGTGAAGATTTACTTTCTTTCTTGATTTATACAGTGGCCTTTATGTCTTAACATTTCTTGTACCTAATAAAATAAAAACAGAAATAAATATTTTCAAACAATGTAATATTTTCCTAACCTCTGGCTCACATTATGTTCAGATACTATGCGATGCCTTTTAATACGGGGACATTTGGTTCATTTGCAGCATTTTCCAATATGGGGCAAAACACCCATATTTTCAACTTCTGGAAACTTTCATTTGACCTATGAACAAACCCAGCGATTGATTATAAGCAAATAAAGTTGGTGTCCTGCTGAACGCAGTGGAAAACATTATCAGAGTAACAAGGGTTTTAGCATCCCTCATCCCACAATAAGGGAACTAAAGTAGGAGTAAATGTGCATTATTTTCATATCCAACATTAGTTCCGATTTAAAAAAAAATCACAATTTTAAGTTTCACTGAATGCTGTCAAGTTGAAACGACAGCATAACGCACCCAGGGCAGAACTAAAAAGTTGGTGCTGGTGTGAGAAAACGAATACGAATGACTTAAAACCATTGATTTTTCTATGAACTTATTTTCCTTCAGTTAAACCGAGCTTGACTTCTATCAACTCTATCTTCCGGAGTCAACATTTTAAGTCTCCCTTGACACACACGGCTTGGGAACGTTGAGCGCTTGGTCCTTTTCCCACTGAATCGTAAACACAACGTGGCTGGGCTCAACTTGGACGGTGGACTACCCCAGAAAAACCACACTGCACTGGTGCTGAAATAAAAAGCTGGTACCTAAGAGGCCTCCCCGCCCCGCCCGCCGCATTTATCTCCTTGGTAAGAGTAACAAGTGCCCTGTTTTCTCCCTGGATTTCTTCTGATGATCCGCTGCAGCCCAGAAGGACGCCGAGCTGAGGCAGCTCTCAGGACCCGGCCAGAAGCTGGGAAAGGTCCGCCTACGCTCGGACCTCCGAGGCTGCTTGGAGCTGCGGGACTCCCCAGAGTCCTGACCCCGCCTACCGACTGACGTCACCGCCAGCTAGGCCCCGCCCCCGCCCCGCCTCACCCCGCGCGACCCGGACAGCCCCCGCCCTGAGAGGCGCCAGCGTGCGCAGGCGCGAAGGCCCCGCTGGTTCCCCTTCCGAACGCCCGCGCCCCGCATGCGCAGTCCAGGCCGGCGGTCTCCGTTTGTTTGAACAGGAAGGCGGACATATTAGTCCCTCTTGGCCCCCCTCGCCCCACCCCCTAGGCATTCGCCGCCGCGACTCGCCCTTTTCCCAGCCGGGACCGCAGCCCCTCCCAGACGCTTCTCCGTCGCAGCCGCCGGGACCTGACTACTGTCTTCCTCCCCGGCCCGCTCTCCAGCCCTGTCCTTTCCCAAGTCTCCCTCGGACCAGCGACCTCACCCTGCGCCGCCGGAGTCCGCGGCAGCAGCCCCAAGAGCGACCGGACAGAATGGGAGAGTGATTCGGTGCGGCGGGGACCAGCTCTCAGCCGGGACAGAGCGGTGCGGCGGGCCGGGCCGAGCGGAAGCAGGCATGCGGGGCTAGCCCGCCTCCAGCGCCTCAGCGAGCCGGGGCCCCAGCAGCGGCCCAGGCGGCGGCAGCTGGCGCAGCTCCTCACCCGCCCTCCGCTTGCGCCTTTCCTCCGCGCCCTCCGCGGCCGCCCCGAGGGAGTCTCCACCCTGCCGCGTGCCCTCTCCCTGTGCTGCCCACCGCGGGCCGGGGGGCCCTTCCATGGCGCAGGCTGCCGGGGCCCGCTAGGCTGAGGCGCCTCGGCGGAGCTACGAGGCTGCTGGCGACGGCGCTGCCGGCTGCCGGGAGGGGCTGCCGGGTGGGATGCGACTTTGGGCGTCCGGGCGGCTGCGGGTCGCTGTCATCCCCAGCCCGGGGTCTGGAGAGCGGAGGTCCCCTCAGTGACGGAGAGGAGGGGGAACCGGGCGCACCTGGTGACCCTGAGGTTCCGGCTCCTCTGCCCGGCGCCTGCGAACCCACCGCGGAGGAAGTTGGGTGAACTTGCTTTCCGCTCCCGGTGCTGGTACGAAGGTATTGTCACAGGGGTAGCAACATGTCGACTGGGGACAGTTTTGAGACTCGGTTTGAAAAAATCGACAACCTGCTGCGGGATCCCAAATCGGAAGTGAATTCGGATTGTTTGTTGGTGAGTGTCACGGTTCTCTTTGGATTGTCTTGAGTCCCTTGGTTTTCTGTCTGGTTAGCTGCAAAAGGCTCTCAGGTGTGCATAATATGGTCCTGGGAAGGTGCCAGAGTCCTCTTTTGCGAAGAACTTGGGAGCATCCCTAAACCTCATGATTCAGGCCCTTTTTACGGTATGACTGGTTCTCTGCTAACTGCACTGAACTTTTAGTTTTGACTCATCTCACCAGTCAGGACATAGATAGAAACTGCTCTTGCAGGCATCGTTAAAAAGTGAACACGCCAAACTTTATAGTGAATTGTTTGCTGAACCATGATCTTAGTTTTAATCTTCCCGATCCATTTGACAGTAAGAGCGAAGACTATTTTCTAGGCACAGAATTAATTCCTAGGGGTTTGCATTTTGGTCTTGGAAGTGATAATGCAGAATTGATAGGAAGTGATTTTTGAGATAAAAAAGTTTTAGGTGTCTTGAGGCAAAAGGAACTTTTTGCTGAACTATTAAATGTAAACCCCCCAGGATAACTGCTCATAGGCCATCACAAGGTTAGACTTTGAAAAACATTATTAGCAAAAGTACCTAACACGTTCCAATTGTCCTTTTTGGTGGTGTTGCACTTTGTTAAACATTCTAAAGTCCTTAAGTCATGAAGAGCCAAAATCCTACCTCAAAAGTCTTTCAGTGATTGATAGCAAATACAGTTATCTGTAAATGATGCTGTTTGACTACCACCAATACTTAGAGTTGCAAATTGTGAATTTCTTTTATTTTACTAACAGCTAAAAGCCGTCAATTACTAATATTTCAGTTCACACGAAACCGCATGATCTCTAAAATCGTGTTTTAGGAAATGTCTTTAGGGGCATGATTTTATAGGGCCTTTAAAGAATTAACTTTAGATATACACAGTTCGGAGAATTAAGAGAATAGAATAATATCATTCAGAGAGATAGCATTTTAAAATCTCGTTTTGAATCAGGAAATTCTGTAGAATAAAATTAGCATGGATTTCAGTTCTAAATATCTCTGTACAGTTTGAATGTGCAGATTTTCTCCCCAAAGCTTTCAAAATTATTCTAAGCATATTGACTGTGAAATAAGAGTATTGTGGCTAGAGTGTTTTGAAGTGTCTCACATTATGGATGCTCTTCATGTTGAGAGATAAAAGGTTGATACTGAATACATTTAAAATATTTTATCGAATGATAGGAATGGAATTTGAATTACCAGTGTGTTTTACCTTTTATTTGCCTTTCAGTATTCTAGTTGTGTCTTAGATTTTATTGTTGTTATTATTCATGGTCCTGCCTATTGACAGGGCCTTGTACTTGGCAAAGCAAGCACTCCACCACTGAGCTAGTCCTCCAGCCCTGTTTTGAGTTTTGATCCCCTTATTCTGTGAAGTAGTAGTGTGTTACGAGGAAGGTTTAGGAGCTTTGTTTTTCCTCCTCGCGGGATTTATAGAGTTGTAGAAAGTGCAAGGAAAAAAGGAAAATTTGGTCTTTTGAGAGACCAGATCTGTATGGGAAAACAACCTCATACATACACAAAGAAGCAAAGTAAAACAGGTTACAGACTGAGAAAATAAGTGATAAATTCCAAATGATTGTTTATCATCTATCAATCTAATTTACCTACCAATCATATCTATCATCGTAGATACCAATAGTATCTATCATCTATCAGTCTAATCTATCTACCTATCTATATCTCAAAGAAATTGAAGGGAAGAAATTGATGTTGAGAGAGCCAAAGTATGCTTTATGATGAATAGGCTACTGAGTTGAGGATAACATAGAGGGTGGATGCAACCATGACTGGCTGTGACATGTTCAGGGAAAGAGCAGATAAAATTGGAAGGATGTATTGATTGGGTTAGATTTGGAGGATTTGAATGCCAAGCTTAGAAGTTTAGGACAGTCATAGGATGAATGTGGTAGTTACGTGCAAGGTTCGTTAGTATGGAGAAAGACTGGGAGAAAAGTAAGGCTGGCGAGTTTTTAAATTACTGTAATAGTCCAGACATGATTGGAACCCCAAATTAGGACATGAAAATGAGGAAGGAAGAATTGATGGAACTTGATTAAGGAGGGTTTAGAAGGAGAAGAGGGAGCCAAAGAGAGAGGCATTAGTCGGATGACCCTAAAATGTGGAGCCTGGGCTACAGTGAAAAGTTTGAAAATAGATTTGGAAATTGTTTGGGTAGAATAGATAATCAATCTTAAGATTTGTTGTATTTGAGAAAGTAGTGGGATGACCGAAGAAGGGGCCGAAGGGGCCTGTAGATTATTGGAGATGTGGAACTAAGCTTATAATTAAAGATAGTGGTTTGCATAGAGGTACAAATTGAAACTGATCTAATAAAAAAGGAGCAACCTAGTGAGAAAGCCAAGGGTGAAAGATGAAGGTCGATCAAAGAGGGAGCGCAAAGAGGTAAGCAGTCCAGTTCTTCAGAGTTAAGACAGCCAGGTATTTTGGAGCACTTCTGAAAGAACATGTTGAAAAAGAAAAGTGAATGGACAGATTTGATTACTTTTTCCTCTGTAATCTTATAATCTTGATCCCTTTTTTGTTGAATTCCATAACTTTTTATTGAAAATGGCTATTGAAATTTTATTATCACATCACTTTGAACTTTAAAAATTGAAATTTTCTTTGCAAGCAAATTCTCATTCCGTTTTTATAGTGTCTAGAATGAATTCTCTTGGTACGGTATTTTATGTTTACCATTGAGCAGTCATTCATTGATTCATTCATTCACTCATTGTCCCATTCACAATGACTCATCAGGTCACTACATTTTTTTCAGTGAGTCTGTTCTTATTCTGTCTGGACTTTGGACCTCTTAGATTTGGAGGTATAATACCCCTTTCACCTGGGTGCCTTTCTTTTTAGATTATTATTATTTTTAGATTTATTTTTACTTATGTGTATATATATATATGTGTGTGCCTGCTTATCTGTATGTGCACCATCTGTCTGTGCCTGTCTGCGAAGGACAGAAGATGGTGTTAGAACCCCTGGAGCTGGGGTTGCAGACTGTTGTGAGCCCCCAGTGTGGGTGCTGGGAGCCAAACCTGGGTCCTCTGCAGGAGCAGCCAGTGCTCTTAACTGCTGAGCCATCTCTAATCCCTCTCTAGATTATTTTAACATTTGCGGACTTAACTGATATTTATTATGTATAGGTTATGTGCCATATGCAGTACTTGCATTCTATATTTTTTTTAATCTCACAAAATCAGTTGTCAAGTTATTTGCTTCTTTTACTAGATCCATTCTTTAGTATCAAAGTTCTCAAGCCTTTTGGTTTCACAGCAGTTTTCTGATAAATCTAACTTTACCCTTAAAACACTTTTTGGATGGGACAATAATATAATAATAAATGTTAGCAATTATAAAATAGTATACGTAGAAGGGACCCTGCTAAGTGACTGTCCAATCTTTTCTTTAAGACTATGACTTTCTTTTCATTGTTTGTGTAACATGAGTAGGTGGATGGAAGGGAAGGGAACCATAATTCATAATTACTAAAGTCTAACACTGCTGTCCATTTGTATATACTACTCATTAGTCAGTTTTTCAGAATGTTTCGGAAGGCAGATGTAAAATGAAGATTTGGATGCTGATGTTTTCTTCCTTAAAATTTTCTTTTCTGTAGCATCTTGAACTAGTTGTTTTTCATCTTTTCATTGCAGTCCTTTTCTGTTTGCCTTAGTGTTTGACTTGTGATGTAATGGATAATTCATCCATTTTTGCAGCTTCAGTCGTCAGTCACTCTATCATAACACAAATCATTTTTACTATTTATCAGTGTGTGTGTGGTGTGTTTGTGTGTGTGTGTAAGTGAGATGCATGAGGGTGGGCAGGCATGTGCTTGCCATGGTGTATGTGGAGGTCAGAGGACAACTTTCTGGAGTTGTTTTTTTCTATTTTTATGTGGGTTCAGGGGGGGTCAAAATCAAGGTTGCCAGGCAAGCACCTTTATTCACTGAGCCATCTCACTGGCTCTATTATTTTATTATTTTCATAATTTTTTGTCTTTTTGAGACTGGGTCTCCCAGCAGCACCAGCTGACCTGTAACTCACAGAGATCTTCCTCTCTCTGCTAGGATTAAAGGCATGCACCACATACATCTGGCCATTTTTTGTTTTGTTTTAAATTTTAAATATCCAGTTGCCTTCTAGGCACCCCTACTTGGATGTCGTCACTCAGATTTCTCACTGCTATCTCTGTCAGTCACTAAGCTGAAAATTTTCTTATGAAGTGTTTGGGCAATACTAGTCTACACATTTGATTTATTACATATTTTAGAATCTAGATTATTGCTGCATAATCTCCATGCCCTGCCAGCTGAATTAATCACATTTGGGATTATGCTACTATTGGTCGAATGAAAAGACTTGAGGTCATTAAGGCTTTGGACCTCAATGCTATATGCTTACTAGTGCTCAGAATTTGCAAGGTAATGGGTTTTACCAATATCAGTTGGACATCTGATTGGTTTGAAGTAAACTTTTCCTTAACCTTTTTTTTAAAAGAAATGGGGTCTTATGCTGGACGTGGTGGTGAACGCCTTTAATCCCAGCACTTGCCTTTAATCCCAGCACTCGGGAGGCAGAGGCAGGTGGATCTCTGTGAGTTCAAGGCCAGCCTGGTCTACATAGTGAGTTCCAAGACAGCTGGGGCTACAGGGAGACCCTGTCTCAAAAAGACCAAAATAAATAAATAAATAAAATAAACAAAACAAAATCCACCAAACAAAGTAGTCTACTCCATTAACTCATTTAGTGAATGTTTCTTTAGGATCTTAATGTGGATTCAATTCTAGGCTTTGTCATGTATGAGCTGGAGGATTCTAAACAAGTTATTTTAATCTCCTGAAAGTTTATTTTAGCTTCAAGAAAATGGAGAAGAGATTATTATACTAGAGTGTTATAAGATTTAAATAATATAAAAAAGGAAGTTATGGCATATGGTGTTTAGTAACCAAAATTTGATAGTA